TCCAGCGAAACAACAGACAGCATACAGGGTGAGTATTTCATCAGGCAGAGATACTTCTTGGAGCTATTAACCATGGGAGAACAGGACACTGTTTGCACAAGGAGACAGCTTGGGGGGCAGAAGTGCATGGGAGGGAAGAACACAGGGAAGAGGTAACTAAAAGAAGGAAGTGGAAAGAGAGCTGTTTGTTACACTGTGGGGAACTGCAGTGAATGTCATGAGACAAAATGTGTATGAACTGCTGTATGAAAAATGAATTTGCTCTGTAAACTTTCACCCAAATCACAATAAAAATTTTAAAAAATAAGAGAAATAGCATCGCATTCATCATCAAAAAGAACATTTCATGCTCTGTCCTAAAGTACAATGCTGTCAGTGATAGGATAATAACTATATGCCTACAAGGAAGACCAGTTACTACTATTATTATTCAAATACTACTATTATTCACACCACCTCATAAAGCCAAAAATGAAGAAACTGAAGATTTTTACCAACTTCTGCAGTCTGAAATTGGCCAAACATGCAATCAAGATGTATCAGTTATTACTGGTGATTGGAAAGTGAAAGTCAGAAGCAAAGAAGAATCATGGGTAGTTGGAAAATACGGCCTTGGTGATAGAAATGATGCTGGAAATAGCATGATAGAATTTTGCATGACCAATGACTTATTTGGGAGCTCTGGTGCATAGTGCCTAAGGCACTTGACGGCTAACCAGAAGGTTGGCGGTTCAAACCCATCAGCCACTCCACGGAAGGAAGAATGGGCAATCTACTTCCGTATTGACAATGCCTCGGAAACCCAAAGAGGGGTCGCTATGAGTCAGAGAAGACTCAACGGCACAAAACAACAACAACAACGACTTATTCATTGCAAATACTTTTTTTCAACAACATAAATGGCAGCTATACATATGGACTTCACCAGATGGAGCACACAGGAATAATATCGACTACATCTGTGGAAAGAGGCAATGGATAAGTTCAATATCTTCAGTTAAAACAAGGCCAGAAGCTGACTGTGGAACAGACCATCAATTGTTCATATGCAAGTTCAAGATAAACTGAAGAAAATGAAAACAAGTCCAAGAGAGCCAAAATATGACCTTGATTATATCCCACCTAAATTTAGAGACCATCTGAAGAACGGATTTGATGCAATGAACAACAATTACCAAAGACCACATGAGTTGTAAGATGACATCAAGAACATCATACATGAAGATAGAAAAAAGTAATTAAAAAGACAGGAAAGGAAGAAAAGACCAAAATGGATGTCAGAAGAAACTCTCAAAATCATTCCTGAATTGAGGGTAGCTAAAGTGAATGGAAGAAATGAGGACATTAACAAGCTAAACAGAAGATTCCAAAGGGTGGCTTGAAAAGACAAAATAAAGTATTACAATGAAATGTGCAAAGACCTGGAGCTACAATACCAAAAGGGAAGAACACACTCAGCATTTCTCAAGCTGAAAGAACTTAAGAAAATATTCAGGCCTTGAGTTGCAATATTGAAGGATTCTATGGGCAAAATAATAAACGATGCAGAAAGCATCAAAAGAAGATGAAAGAAATACACAGAGACATTGTATTAAAAAGAACTGGTTGATGTTCACCTATTTCAGGAGGTGGCATACGATCAAGAACCAATGCTACTGAAGGAAGAAGTCAAAGATGCAATGAAGGAGCTAGAGAAAAACAAGGCTCCAGGAATTGATGCAACACCCATTGAGATGTTTCACAAACAGATGCTGCATTGGAAGTACTTACTCATTTATGCCAAGCAATTTGGAAGACAGTTACCTGGTCAACTGACTGGAAGAGATCCCCATTTGTACCAATTCCAAAAAATAGGTGATCCCACAGAACATGGAAATTATCGAATAATATCATTAATATCACACACAAGTAAACTTTTGCTGAAGATAATTCAAAAACAATTGCAGCAGTATACTGACAGAGAAATTCCAGAAATGCAAGATGAATTCAGAAGAGGGCATAGAATGAGGGATATCAGTGCTGATGTCAGATGGATCTTGGCTGAAAGCAAAAAATACCAGAAAGATGTCTACTTGTGTTTTATTGACTATGCAAAGGCATTCGACTGTGTGGATCACAACACATTATGGATAACATTGAGAAGAATGGGAATTCCAAAACACTTAATTGTGCTCAT